ATACACAAGGAGATTGCTGTGTGATGTGATCATTATCAAAATCTGGGAGAACGAAGAAGGGAAAAATATCTAGAGACCTCTTCAGCTCTCTAGTGGAATGTTGCCTTACTACCCCACCAAAACTACTCACAATAGAAAATGGGAAATTCTCCCAAAGAAAACCCAAGAGCTATCAAGAAGAGGAAATGGACATAAGGCTAAAAAACACAGTATCTTTGGAAAAGTGTCTATTCATGTCTTCTGCCCATTTCTTCACTGGATTATTTGTTTTTCAGGTGTTGAGTTTAGTAAGTTCTTTATAAATTTTGGATACTAACCCTTTATCCAGTATGTCATTTGCAAATATCTTTTCCCATTCCACCAGTTGCCTTTACGCTGAGTGAAATAAGTCAGTCAGAGAAGGACAGATATCATATGTTTTCACTCATATGTGGATCTTCAGAAACTTAACAGAAGACCATGGGGGAAGGGAGGGGTAAAAATAGATACAAACAGAGAGGGAGGGAGGAAAACCATAAGAGACTCTTAAATACAGAGAACAAACTGAGGGTGGACGGGGGATGGGGGGTGGGGAAGAAGGAAAACGGGTGATGGGCATTGAGGAGGGCACTTGTTGGGATGAGCACTCAGTGTTGTATGGAAGCCAATTTGACAATAAATTATATTTAAAAACACAAGATCTACTACAATGTCTTAGGCTGGATTCTTCTAACGGACAAGAGTGACGTTTCATACATTTTATTTATTTATGTTTTAAATTAGAGAGATACCCTAGTGCTATTGATAAATAGGCACTAATGAATAGTCTTGGAAGCTGAGGCTGAAAATGGTGACAATGTTGATGGAAACCTTTTTTTAAAATAACAGACTACTGTCTGTACATACTAATGGACTTAGATAAACCTTTGTTACCTACCCCACCACAATTCTATGATGCAGCTCTAAAGTCTGACACTGCAGTGTTACGAAATAAATAATCACAGATGGTGCCTGACACAAGGCTGTCATCTCCCATGTGACTCCTCCTCAGTCCCATTGCCATGTAAAAATGACACTTCTCTTTGCTCAGGGATTGATATGTAAATAGTAGCATCTCGGGGAAGATTCTAGAGTTCTCTGAATGGGATCTAGGAGAGGTACATGGAGAGGAGAGATGGCAAAGCAGTATTTATGGACAGCAGTCCAGAAGAAGGTCTCCATTCTGCCCATTTCCCTGGGTCAACTCAAGCTGAAAGCTCACCCGGGGGAGTTGTACTGAACACATAATTTTGCCCTGGATAATTTTTTTTTGATATCAAAGAATCAAGTTTATACAAGCCTAAGCCACATTGCAAACAACAGTACTTCCTGGATGGAGCATGAGTAATTAGCTGTGAGCGTCATGACCGTTTGGCCCCTAACCTACATTGACGTTTTGAGACACAGTGGAGTAATCCACATAGTTTTCATAACATAAAAGGCTAGTCCCTTAATGAACATCTTATCTGGGAAGCCCAGCTACAATATATTTCTAGAACCTCATAATGATCACGTTTCCTTTATGTTTTAGTGCTCTTAAGCTAAATAGGGGGTAAAAAAATGGATGGAGAAAAATGTCAAGTTAAAATTCTGTGGTAAGACCAAAGCAAAAACTACTCCAACGTTAACGTGTTTGGATGGACTGCAAAGCAAAATACATGCAATTATTTCTCATGAATATTCTGCAAAGTGTCTGCATTTTCCTTGAAGTGGCAGCAGATCCAGGAATGGGAGGTCTTCTGTTCCACAACTGCTTATGAGCATTGTTATGGTGGGGCGTAAATTACAGAAGCCAGGATTTCATCCACTGTGCAAAAACACTATAAAGATTTCTGTCCCTTATTAACTACCGGGCTGCCACTAGGTTTATGAATGGAGTTAAAAGTTCCAAATAGCATGGTACGTGTTCTCAAAGCACTGAGAAAAGTTTTTCACAGTAGTGGTGGTCAGGCACAGAGAGAGGGAAAGAGAAGGAATGGAAACTCTGTGAGCCTCTCAAGGGCTGGTGGTGGCCACCCGCCAGTCAGGGCAAACAGGAGTGCACTTTCTGTGCTAAGTAAATAAACTTAATTGTAAGTTTATAAGGCCACAGAAAACATAAACTAAGAGTTCTGTTCCAAGTCTGAAATGTCTCCATTGAAAGTTCATGGAAATGAGAACTGTCTCTTTAAAAATCAGAATCGAACTGGCTGGAACTTGTAACTGCCCAGAACAGAGCCCCAGGGGCCAGTGGTTAAAAATATGATTTTTATAAACAAACCTGACATTGCAAACTTAATGCAAAACCTTATGCATATAGCATCACTTATGTGTGCAACTTGTTTAAATCAGAGCTGCAGGAAGACGGAAGTAAAATTGGCACATTAACCTTCTGTTTAACAATGTTTTATATACAGTGTATTTTGAAGTTGATGGTGATGTCCCCCTAGCCCTCCAAGAGTTAAGACTGTGGGTATTTTGTTCTGAAATTTTCAATGCATATTTTTAGAAAATTCAGCTCTAAGTATATGCTCGGTACACAAAATATTCTGGGTGCAAAATTTTACCTTGCTTCAGAATTCCCTGGGGTGTCACCAAATTCATTCCACTGAATTGAACTTAGAGAGAAACATTATAAATAATACTTAACTAAGGTCCTTCCCTCCCCTCATGCTTAACGATTAAAATAGAGGTGGTTTCTTTTTCCTTTGGAAATTTATTAGCCAATATTCCCTCACCCCAGTTCATCTCCTTTGGTATTTGAAAAGAAACCACAAAACACTAGCTGTTAATATTGTTTTAAGCCTCACCCTCTTGCTTCACCGTATTTTGGTTAGATTTGCTTTTAATATGCCACTTTGCACAAGTTTAATTAAAATCATAACAGCTCAATCCTGTACGTTTAGACAACAGTGGATATCAACACGGATTTCAGGGATTATGAAAGAGATGTAAAAATCTTGCAGAGTTGAATAGTTGATTTACCAATAAAGGAGATGGAAAAATCTGTTTCTTAAACACAGAAATATTTAACACGATTAAGACTCATTTGCTTTTAGTACAGTTATTCCAAAAGATCATGTGTTGCCCTTGAGAGTGTTGTTCTGAACGACATGGTTTTTATTTGAGTTTGAATCCTCTTCCTCATGCATGAAGTCAGTTTATCTGTGTTCTTAGTGTAACCCCAAACATCATTGCTTCACCCCGCCTCCCTTGAATATCCATCCAAGTTGGTCGTCTGTCCTTCTCTTCCCTTCCATTCTTGGACTTACAAACATTTTTGAGTCTTTTAGAGGGGCAGGAGGATTTTGTTGTTATTTGCTGAAGCAGTGGGACTAAAGCTAGCTTTATATGCCTGATGGGTGGAGGATGGTTAAGGATGGCCGGGTGCAATTTGAGCTTTGGAAAAGATTTACCAGATGGGATGATTTTGAAGAGGTTTGGCCATTATCTTGGATGTGGTACGTGTAGTACTTTCTGCATGATTTCTCTGAAGTGATTAACCATTGTATTGCTTATTTCCACAGTGCATTCTATGATCTTCTCGGAAGCATGTGTGGTACGCTTAGTTCTACTCTATTAATTATATGGGGTATCCTCAAATCTTTCCTCTATTGTTTTGCTATTAAGGATTAACGAAACATTTTCTGCCATTCATTTGTGAAACTGCGTCCTTCCCCTTCTCAGAGCCTCCTCTCCATGCCTAGAGAGGACTATTTTTGGAATATGTAAATTTACACCTCTAAAATATCAAGAAGAAAACCTCTGATGAAAACTACAACATAATTTCAACCACAAAGAAGATGTTAAATTCCATTTTGACATGAATTGGAACCGAATAGATGCCACAGTACAATGTCACTTCATGAGATTTACTTATACCCACAGAAGTCTGATATGGAGAGGTGAATTAAGGACAAGGCATCCAATTTTGGTTCTAAATATTGCTGGGCTTTTGTGGGATTCAACCAAACCCCAAATGCTAGAAGAACATCTCTTCAGATTAAATTGCAGCAGATAAATATTCAACTCTGGTTCAGTTTACACTCAGATATTTTGTTTGCATTCCCCCAAGTTCCTAGTAGTTATAGAGATGCTGGCAAAGGGAAAAAGGCTTCATGTGAATGTTTCCTATTCAGAAATATCCCTGAATGATCACTGCCAAGATATTTAAAATTTGTTGTCCTTAAAAATCCAGGCCTGTATTTTGGTCAAGGTTGGGACAAAAATTATTAACTTCTCTCCTCTATACCAAGTAAAATCATGACTGGCTAGTAATTTACTTGCATTAGGAAACCAAGTAGGGAACTTGTCCTACTTACATGCAATCTTCTCATTGGATACTTTAGCACATCTATAAATTCACTTTGATGAGTTCAAACAGAATTTCATATGTGCAGGAGAATAAAATATCATCGCCTGATTGTTGCCTATCTGACCTTGAATGTAAAATGGGTGTTGAGCCATAATTTTTGGGCCTCTCATTTGTGCAACATAATGAAGAGTCAGAAAGGATTTATTTTTAAAGACATTTCACAAGTACCATTTAGAACCATATTAAATTATTTCCTATTTTCCGTGCTTACTACCTTGCAAACACTGCCAATACTTCAGAGACTATTTTTCTACCTCCCAGTGCCAACAGAAAATTGGATCTAGGTATCTACACTTATAGCTCATGTTGGACCCAGAGTTAAATGTTTTCAAAACATTAGTGGTCATGTTACATGACTGTGTTTCAGTTAATTCTCCCTGTTTTCACACCAGCTGATAATGCTCAGCTGAAAAAAAAAAAGGCATCCTGCATCATATGGCTATAGCCACTTATATTCCAGGGAAATACGTACTTCTACAGGACCTGATACTGGGTAGATATCTTCCTATTCTTTCATTTTGTCTGAGGGTCGCAACGGTACTAATTAAGTCTGAACAATAATTATCATTCTGATCTTTGGTATTAGCAACCTATAAATTTCTGAAATTAAAAAATTCATTTCTCTTACTATCAGAGCTTTGCCTTATATTCCTTCTTTCACTTTTTCATTCTTTCTTTTTCTTTTCTCCTTTTAAACAGTACATCAGGATTAGCAAATGCATCTATCTCTTTTTCTGCTGAAAAATAACAAAGAAAATTTATTTCTATTAATTAATCAGGGTTGTGGTTAGCTCTAAAATTTTATGGCACGTATCTTTATCATTCATTTATACATTTTCTTCTGATTGCAAAAAAAATCTTTTTATTTATTTTTAATGGAGACAAAATTGGACAGTGTAGCAAAAAACAAAGACAAAGGTATTATTCATTCCTATTTCTATTACACAGAGAAAACAATGTTTTTAATATTTTGGTGTGTATGCTCTGGTCTTTTAAAAATGAATATTTATTACAAAGATATTAGGCAATTTATCTTATTTGCTAAGCAGTAATTGTCTATATTTTCTTGTGGTGTTTGCTTCCACAACATAGGATTATAATCAAAGCATAGTATTTCATGGTACAGTCACATAATTAGCCAATTACCTATTTTTATTCATTTAGGCTATTTTCAGTGTCTTGCTGGTTAGAGATACTGTCATTTTTATTTTTAAGGTTATCGATTTGATTTGTGTGGCAAAAGCAATACATCATTAATTAAATTTACCAGAAAAAAATCTTAGCTACTTTTGTTTTTTCATTTTGTAACATTCCTACTCATGACCTTTGCCCATTTTTCATATTGGTATGTTTGTATCTTATTTGCAATTTGCAGCACTTACAGAAAAATACTCTCTATATCAGGGATGTAATACAAATACTTGTATTAAATCTTGATTTTTTTTAAAGAGATTTTTCCCAAATTCTGTTTATTTTCTTTTTAAAAGTTTTTGCCATAGGTTTAATTTGCCACGTTATCCCACCACAAGTCATGCATATTTTAACCTACAATTATTTATTCTGGCTTTATGGTCATTTGCTTTTCATTTAAAATGTAATTTATTTCTGGAGCTCCTGGGTGGCTCAGTCGGTTGAGCTTCTGACTTTGGCTCAGGTCATGATCTCATGGTTCGTGACTTCGAGCCCCGCATTGGGCTCTGTGCTGACAGCTCAGAGCCTGGAGCCTGCTTTGAATTGTGTGTCTCCCTCTCACTATCCCCCTCCCACTAGTGCTCTGTCTCTCTCTCTCTTTCTCCCTCTCAAAAAAAATAACCATTTAAAAAAATATTTCATGTAATTTATTTCTAATTTATTTGGGGTATGCTATGGAATTTATCTTTTTTTTTTTTTCAACGTTTTTATTTATTTTTGGGACAGAGAGAGACAGAGCATGAACGGGGGAGGGGCAGAGAGAGAGGGAGACACAGAATCGGAAACAGGCTCCAGGCTCTGAGCCATCAGCCCAGAGCCTGACGCGGGGCTCGAACTCCCGGACCGCGAGATCGTGACCTGGCTGAAGTCGGACGCTTAACCGACTGCGCCACCCAGGCGCCCCTATCTTTTCTAAATATTAGGAAGTGATACCAATTTATTAATTGATCCGTTTTACATTTATGAGAAAGTTAGTTGGTCGACATTTTTACATTTTAAAATGTTTTTCTTTCCTTTTTCTTTCTTGTATTATTACATCAGAACCTTCAGAATAGAAATAATTATTGAAATATTAGGTTTATCTTGTTTCTGAATTTAATGGAAATGATTCCAGTATTTCACATTAATCATGATATTAAGTATGGATGTTCTGTGACATACATTTTAACATTTAAGGAATTGCCTTGCTACTCCTATCTAGCTGTTTTTTAAAATCAGGAATAAATGCTTAATATTATCAAAATCTTCTATAATGTCTATTAAATGACAGCGTTTTTCACTATTTTGATTTTGCTATGATACACTATACTCATTTTCCAGAAATAAAGGTGATTTGCTCATAATTTATTATTCTTTTGGCATAATGTTACACTTAATTTTGTATGGTGTGTGTGTGTGTGTGTGTGTGTGTGTGTGTGTGTGCGTGTGTGTGTGTGTTTCAAACTCAATATTTATATTCTATTCATTCCTACTATGTCTTCTCAACACCAGGTTTATAATCAGGATATGAGAGCTTCAGAAAATGAATTAGAGATTTTTATATTTTTGATGTTCTGAAATTACTTAAATAATATAGAAATAATCTTGAAGTTCTGAAAACACTTTGTCGTTGCTCTTTCTATTGAGGTATTATCCACAAAGCATTAAGATGCACCGATCTTTTGATCTTTTGTGTATAGTCCAGTTAGTTTCCTCAAATGCATACCTCATGTAACTCACATCCAAATCACGTAACTCACTTCCACTATCCCAGGAATTGCATCACGCTACTTTCCAGACAGCATCCCCTCACGTTCCTGAGGGCTGCGCTTTGGTTTTCATCACCTGCCTGTGCTTCTACTTCATATCAATAAAATCATACATTTGACATCCATGTTGTTACATATATTCATGGTTCATTTCTTCGTATTGCCAAGTCATAGTCCATTGTGTGCATGTATCCCACTTTATTTATCTATTTCTCTGTAGATAAACTTTTAGTACTTTCTAGTTTAAAGGTCCTTATAGGTAAAATTGCTTGAACATTTTTATACAAGTTTTCCCATGGCTAGCTGTTTTTATTTCTCTTGGATAAATACCTAATAATAGACCTTTGGAGTCATATGGTAGGCAATCAGTTTGACTGCCAGCAACTGGCACTTTTCCAGAGGTTTTAACTTTTACACCTCTACCAGCAATGTATGTGAATTCTAGCTGGTCTACATCCTCACTAACACTTGATATTGTCAGTCTTTTTAATTTTACCAGCCCAGTAGGTGTGTGACAGTATGTCATTGTGATATTAATTTTCCTTTTCTTGATGTCTAATGATATTAAGCATCTTTTCAGGTGCTCTTTTGACATTAATGTATCTTCTTTTGTGAAGTGTCCATTCAAATTTATTTTGCCCATTTAAAAATTTTTTTTTCAACATTTTTTATTTATTTTTGGGACAGAGAGAGACAGAGCATGAACGGGGGAGGGGCAGAGAGAGAGAGGGAGACACAGAATCAGAAACAGGCTCCAGGCTCCGAGCCATCAGCCCAGAGCCTGACGCGGGGCTCGAACTCCCGGACCGCGAGATCGTGACCTGGCTGAAGTCGGACGCTTAACCGACTGCGCCACCCAGGCGCCCCTATTTTGCCCATTTTTAAATTGGGTTGTTTGTCTTTTTACTATTGAATTGTATGAGTTCTTTACATATTGTGGATACAAATCCTTTGTCAGATATATGTATTGCAAATATTTCTCCCGTGGCTTCATTTTGTCCATTCATTCTCTTAATATTATGGTATAATAATTAAGTTTTATCAGAACATTAAAGAATATATATCTTATTTTGTACATATTTAGTCACATCTTTTATTAAAATTTTTTTAATGTTTTTATTTATTTTTGAAGGAGAGAGAGAGAGCATGAGAGGGGGAGGAGCAGAGAGAGAGGGAGACACAGAATTCGAAGCAGGCTCCAGGCTCTAAGCTGTCAGCACAGAGCCTGATGCGGGACTCGAACTGGCAAACTGTTAAGATCATGACCTGAGCGGAAGCTGGAGGCTCAACCGACTGAGCCACCCAGGGGCCCCAGTCACATCTTTTATATATTGATATGTAGATTACTATTTTCATTGTTAATTAACATACAGTAATTGCACTTTCGGTTTTCTCCTTGAATAAAAATTTATTTAGGAGCAAGATATTTTAGTTCTCAAGTGTCAGGAATTAATTTCCTTTTCCTTTTTGTTCCTTTTCTATTGGATAAGGTAACCTCTGTTATTTCCAATTTTTTAAACTACCCATGATGGACATGGTGATACACAGCTCGGATTTTCTTTCAGGAAAGAAAGACAGATTTCATTCTGCTGGGACTACTGCAGGTAGATAGACCTCAGCAATCAGAATCCTTGGGACGTGCCCCCACTGAAGTGCTGCCCCACCCAATGAGACACTCCCTTCCTTGGGGGGGACAAATTTAATGACAGATCTACATTCCCCAACTCACAGCTCTACTACTGCCTCTGTCCAATCCTGACTCTCCTCCTTCCATTCCATAGATGTTGAACTCCCCTAAATGCTAATCTCCTTCTGAGAATATGGTTTTCTGGGAGGGAGCTATATCTGCAGTAATTACTGAGACTGATTTTGTGTGTGTGGTGTCTGAGTCAGCGTAATCAATTAAATGATCACATTTGTCATTATTACAGGGGTATTGCAAAAAATAAAACAAAACCATATATAAACAACAACAAAAGCAAGGTGCATTTGCATTCTTTCACTGGAGGATGCAAAACCTGATACAGTTATTGAACTAAGTATCTATATTTATTTAATCATTTTTTACTTGTATCTATGTTTTGGCACTTGATTCATCAAAGAACATTGTCTTAATTATCTTCTATTGGCTTAAAAAAACTTATTCTTAATATTTTATATGCTTATTCTATATTTTATGTGTTATATAACATTTTGATATAATAATACTGTCTGTATAGAGAGCAAAACAATATACATTATTAGTGAATTGTATCTTATATCAGCATGAATGAACTCTCATCCATTCTGTGCTTTTGCCTTTTTTACGTGACATTATTGTTTCAGCCCTTTCATTGCTTTTTACTTATATAACTTATCTTTTTTTGCAGCTTTTTACTGTTTACTTATTTGTACTGCTTTCTTTTAGATATGTTCTTATTAACTGATGTAGTTGTATGTTTAAAAAATTGCTTCGAACTAAGAGTTTTTTAAGAAAGGAATGTTTAACTTTTATACTTTTGGTTATAACTCATATATCTGGCCTGACTTCTGTTACTTTCTGTAATTCTGTTTGTCATGCTTTCTTATTATTTATTGTTTTCCAAAGTTCAGGATATAAGCCATGCTTTCTTTGCTGGATTCCTTTATAATGTATTAAGACTGTATATTTTGCTTCAATTCAACTATTGGTGGAAACCTTTCAATTTTTTAAAAGCATTCTTTAACCTACTTTGTTTCAATTTTAGATTAAAAAAACATGTTTTTTTTTAAATATATATAGGAGGGAACATTTATCAGGTTTTTATTTCTTCCCAAGT